TATCTATAAGAGTTAGGATGTACAGACAAGTTTGTTTTATCTATAAGAGTTAGGATGTACAGACAAGTTTGTTTTATCTATAAGAGTTAGGATGCACTTTTACTGCAGAGGTTTGACATCCATACTTGCCAAATGCAACTAACTCCCGATTTTGGACCCTAAAATTGAGCATCTTCAACCAATGAATTCGCTAGACTATTCCTATTTTACAAGATCTGCTGATTTCATCTAAAAGAACAGCTCAAAAGATGCCATTTAAAAGTGTTACTTTTCCCCTAGGGTGTATGTATGTACACATTTTATTTAAATGCTTTTAATTCTGAACATGCGCAAACTCTGCCATAAACTGTTGGCAAGTATGGACATCATGGGGACTACACTATACAACCAGTTCTTTACCTCAAGGGGCTTAACTCCGTACAGACAACAGTATACAGCCTGCACGTGGAAGGCGGCCGACTCATCACACAGCCACTGCATGGAGCTGGGGAAGCACTTCTCTGTGTTACCGAAATCCACATAGAGGACCTCAACACCACACTGAAACACAACAATATCGGGTCGTACACTGAAACACAACAATATCGTGTCGTACACTGAAACACAACAATATCGTGTCGTACACTGAAACACAACAATATCGTGTCGTACACTGAAACACAACAATATCGTGTCGTACTCTGAAACACAACAATATTGTGTCGTAAACTGAAACACAACAATATCGTGTCGTACACTGAAACACAACAATATCGTGTCGTACACAGAAACACAACAATATCGTGTCGTACACTAAAACACAACAATATCGTGACGTACACTGAAACACAACAATATCGCGTCGTACACTGAAACACAACAATATCTTGTCGTACACTGACACACAACAATATCGTGTCGTACACTAAAACACAACAATATCGTGACGTACACTGAAACACAACAATATCGTGCCGTACAATGAAACACAACAATATCGTGTCGTACACAGAAACACAACAATATCGTGTCGTACACTAAAACACAACAATATCGTGTCGTACACCGAAACACAACAATATCGTGTGGTACACTGAAACACAACAATATTGTGTCGTACACTGAATCACAACAATATCGTGTCGTACCCTGAAACACAACAATATCGTGTCTTACACTGAAACACAACAATATCGTGCCGTACAATGAAACACAACAATATTGTGTCGTACTCTGAAACACAACAATATTGTGTCGTACACTGAATCACAACAATATCGTGTCATACACTAAAACACAACAATATCGTGACGTACACTGAAACACAACAATATCGCGTCGTACACTGAAACACAACAATATCGCGTCATACACTAAAACACAACAATATCGTGTCGTACACAGAAACACAACAATATCGTGTCGTACACAGAAACACAACAATATCGTGTCGTACCCTGAAACACAACAATATCGTGTCGTCCACTGAAACACAACAATATCGTGTCGAACACTGAAACACAACAATATCGTGTCGTCCACTGAAACACAACATCGTGTCGTACACTGAAACACAACATCGTCTCGTACACTGAAACACAACAATATCGAGTCGTACACTGAAACACAACAATATTGGGGCGTACACTGAAACACAACAATATCGGGTCGTACACTGAAACACAACAATATCGCGTCGTACACTGAAACACAACAATATCTTGTCGTACACTGACACACAACAATATCGTGTCGTACACTAAAACACAACAATATCGTGACGTACACTGAAACACAACAATATCGCGTCGTACACTGAAACACAACAATATCTTGTCGTACACGGAAACACAACAATATCGTGTCGTACACAGAAACACAACAATATCGTGTCGTACACTAAAACACAACAATATCCTGTCGTACACTGAAACGCAACAATATCCTGTCGTACACTGAAACGCAACAATATTGTGCCGTACAATGAAACACAACAATATTGTGTCGTACTCTGAAACACAACAATATCGTGTCGTCCACTGAAACACAACAATATCGTGTCTTACACTGAAACACAACAATATCGTGCCGTACAATGAAACACAACAATATTGTGTCGTACACTGAATCACAACAATATCGTGTCATACACTAAAACACAACAATATCGTGACGTACACTGAAACACAACAATATCGGGTCGTACACTGAAACACAACATCGTGTCGTACACTGAAACACAACATCGTCTCGTACACTGAAACACAACAATATCTTGTCGTACACTGACACACAACAATATCGTGTCGTACACTAAAACACAACAATATCGTGTCGTACCCTGAAACACGACAATATCGTGTCGTACACTGAAACACAACAATATCGGGTCGTACACTATACATGTACAGACCCTTGTGAGACATGGCAATTTATGCAGGTAAACGAGATATCTATCTTTGTTTTACTTTAGTGTATAAACTATTCCCAAAATAATATACTGGATTTATTTTATTAAATTAATTAATAATGAAGTATTGCAAATAAATTATGTCCCTACCACAACATACTGTCTACTAAATGGAGTGTACAGTTTTTTAATTAAAGAGCTAACCCTCAGGCGGGTCTTCAAAAATTCTACTTGCCCTCTCTATTTTTATAGAAAATATTCAAAATGTCCATTAGTCCTCAAATCTAATACCATCACAGGTATTGGTCTACTGAAATCTTACACTTCTGAGGTATTGGTCTACTGGAATCGTACACTTCTCAGGTATTGCTCTACTGGAATCTTACAATTCTCAGGTATTGGTCTACTGTAATCTTACACTTCTGAGGTATTGGTCTACTGACATCTTACACTTCTCAGGAATTGGTCTTCTGGAATCTTACACTTCTTAGGTATTGGTCTACTGAAATCTTACACTTCTGAGGTATTGGTCTACTGAAATCTTACACTTCTCAGGAATTGGTCTTCTGGAATCTTACACTTCCCAGGTCTTGGTCTACTGGAATCTTACCCTTCTCAGGTATTGGTCTTCTGGAATCTTACACTTCCCAGGTATTGGCCTACTGGAATCTTACACTTATCAGGGATTGGTCTTCTGGAATCTTACACTTCCCAGGTATTGGCCTACTGGAATCTTACACTTCCCAGGTATTGGTCTACTGGAATCTTACACTTCTCAGGTATTGGTCTTCTGGAATCTTATACTTCTCAGGTATTGGTCTACTGGAATCTTACACTTCTCAGGTATTGCTCTACTGGAATCTTACACTTCTCAGGTATTGGTCTACTGGAATCTTATATCTCTAGTACAACAGGAAACTGGCAACAGGCATAACTTATACAAGCCATCTCCCTGCTGGCGCAAGCTCCTGTTGTAGGTGGCGACTTGGAACCAGTTTTCAAATTATTTGAGAAGAAACTTCTGTTTCAAATTGCAACAAATTTGAGTCGTTATGAGAATAAATTTGTTTGATGAAGGAACAACTGTCCTTTGTACATGGAAAGATGAGCAATGACTTACTCCAATGTCGTCCTTGGCAAGAACCTCAGCTCGGCTCCAACTTCCGTCAGTGCTGTACATGGACGCACAGAACCGGCCTGGGGACAGTTCCTGTCTTGTGGGCTTGGGCCCCTACAATGTAGTTACAGGAATATTGCAGTTGACAATTTTATCGCTAATTTTATACTATGTTTTCACCTATATATTTTTTTTTGTCTATTTGTAAATATTGATTTCTCTTTCTCATGAGACTTCTATCATTTAAGCAATATTTTAAGAAGAATTATATGTATCAAGTATTAGAACAAAATTGGCAACATTAAATTTCTAACCTGTCGCCACTTTGACAATCCCCACTACTTTGACAATCAATAGCAATTAATAAAAATCTGTGGAACCATAGACACAGTGAGATAGTCTGTATTGTCTATACTCACTTGTATGTGGTCTGTACAGTTAAAAGTGTCCAAACTCACCTTATTTGTGGCCTGGACACTGACAAGTGTCTAAACTCACCTTATTTGTGGCCTGAACGCTGATGAGTGTCTTAACTAACCTTATTTGTGGCCTGGATGCTGAGAAGTGTCTAAACTCACCTTATTTGTGGCCTGGACACTGACAAGTGTCTAAACTCACCTTATTTGTGACCTGGATGCTGACAAGTGTCTAAACTCACCTTATTTGTGGCCTGGATAGTCAGAAGGTTAGATATCTCCTCTATTGGGGAATCTTCCCTCTGCACACAGAAGTAGCCACAGTTGTGGAAAAACGTCATATAAACTGTCACCTTCTCCCTGAAACATACAACGTCAATATTCCCTGACCTACAATGTCAGTTTCACACATGTAGGGCTTTGAAATGATCACTTAAGAGAGATACAATCAGTTTCTTGGACAATTGATCTTTAAGATGTTAAAAAAACAACATTTTTACAGGAAAATATCTGTATACAAACTAATAAAATTGTATACCTGTAACTGAGTGAGATAGGGTTATCTCAAGTGAGGGCCAAGATTCTGTAACATAATCCCAACCGAGGCGTAAGTTTTGGTTGGGATGATACAGAATCCAAGCCCAAGACTTTTGTCTCATCTTTGACGAAAATCTATTGAAATTGAATCAGTAGAGCCATGACAATGAATGACAAAGTGATGTGACAGGCCGGACACGGGTCACACAATACACTCCCCATCCCATCCCACTCCTAATAAAGTGTCTTTTATCCGTATAACCTGGCCCAGATTTATTTCACCTGTTTAACTATATAAATAACAGCTATATACTTACTCCAGTGGCAGGGGTTCTCCTTTTGGAATTTTTAGATCCTGTAATGGGACAATAAACCAATTCATCAAATAGATTCCAGACAAAATTGAAAATAACAATGTAGCACACATGTTTATATAAAATCATAAAAGAAACCAACAAGCGTCCTCCTCAATACAGCAGTTCCTCCTTTTATTCTTTATTAATGGACATGAGCTTTCAGTTAGTTCAGATCAATTAAGCCTGCGTCTTAACCCTTTCAACCCCATGTAATTTTAGTAAACTCTACCATGCATTGATCTGGTTGAGTCCATGATGGTCTACAGTGGTGAAAGGGTTAATATGAATATATCAGCTTAAATTATTTGCAAAGACAGCCACACCCATAGGCCTTTTTATGTAGCATCTTTTATTCAAATGTCTACTGCCCTAGTAGTTTTGGCTCCACTTCAACCATGAAAACTGACAGCAAACACGCTGTGAAGTTTCATGTTACGCTATTCCTTACCTTGACATCGGTGGGGTTATCTGCCCTTTGCCGTGACTCGGTGACAGCCGTTTGTGTGGGAGGTAACGGATCCGGAGGCGTGTATATTACGCGAGGAGCTAGAGGAGAGGGTGTCTCTCTAGGAGTTTGAGCTGTCTTGGGGGTCTGGCTGACTGGTTTTGTGATTTCCTGTGAAGCTCCAGGTGCGACAGGTGTGATGATTTCATTGTCGGGTACAGCACTCCTGTTAGTATAATGTCACTTATTACACTTAGAGGAGATTTGTTGTAAGAAGTGAGGCAACTGTTCTTGCATGTGGCATATAAAAAATGATTTTAAATATAATTTATCGGAGTATTCACAGGGTAGTGATTTTTCAACAGCCTGTTCCTACATGAATTGGGAAAATATAGCATTTTGATTGAAATTAGGAAATTATTCATGATTTTTTTCTCTTCATTTTGGGAAAATAGGGCACTTTTCAGCCAGGGGAAGAGAACTGTATTCAATTGTAAAACTGAACAAAATGAAGAGACGTTCGTGTCTCTAAAACTGACATTGAACACATATATGAGACAATGTGAACTATTGTACGGCAATCCATATAGTCCCCCACCACAGATAATTCTATATTTACGAAGCTGTACACCTATCTCAGGATCAACCTACTGTAGAGAAAGTACCTTATCCTGATACAGAATAGGGTAATTTTTTCAATGAATGAGGTCAGATGTTATATCAAAGATCACAGTGACATAAGTTTGGTGCAGTAAATTCTGTTATGTCAGGATATACCTGCATACCAAAACTGGTTTCTCCAGGAGAACAGTACAGAGATAATTGGAAAATGTATTTCAACGACTAAGGTCAGAGGTCAAAGAATATATCACAGGAACCTACCTTTTGTAAAGTGCATCCCACCATTATAAGAAATACCTGAATACTAAATTTGGTTAATCCAGTTGAAATAATAGATATGGTCTGGACAATGTATTTTAAAAGGTAAGGTCAAAGCATTAAGGACTTTATGTACTTGCATTCCAAATCTGGTGACTCCAATTGAGATGGAATAGGAGATATACCCCGGCCAAACTCTTTGGATGGACAGAAGGCAGGACTGACCAAGTGCAAACCTAAATAGACCTCCCCATCCCCCGGGAATCAGTGAGGGCCTCAAACGAAATAGACCAAATGTCTCTAAAGTATTTCAGGTTTTACAAAGATATTGCTAATGAGCTATGTTTAGCTCTGCCTGTTTAAATGTGTCAAATATGGTTACATATTCCCAGTTTTGTTATCAAAGCTCCAGAGTAGACACAAGAACACGAGACATTGTGACGTACTCCTGTATGGCGGCCACATCCTTCCACTGTTTGATGAGGCTGAACAGGTGGTCGGGAGGATCCTCATTAAACTGCTCCTTGTACAGTTCCAGCAGGCGTTTTTTCCACATACCGTTTGATTTGTTACACAGCAACTACAACAGAGAGTTCATTTATTATAGTTACCATGGTTACCAACCCAATAAACTTACAGCAAGTGATATATTTTGGAGGTTAAGTCTGAACCAGGTGAAATAGTAAAGAAAATTACACTGGCAAACTTTTTTGAAAGTTGAGGTCAAAGGTCAAACCATATGTCACAGTGACCTACTTTTTTAACTTGACACTCTACCATCCCAAGATGTACTTGCAAACCAAATCTGCTAACTCAAGTGTGTGGATTACATCGGTGATGTTTCATAAAATGCAGCTGAAAGCTGTAGGAGTTGTAGTCAGTGTACTTCAATGTATTCAAACTATGTTTGCCCTATCTAGGTATTTAAACTTTGTTTACAGGAGGTATAATAATCAAATCACAAATCACTTCACTTTCACTGTGCCAGATTGCAAAAACAATCAACCACACAGTTAAGGAGAAAGTGTGCTTACAAGGTTTCCGGAGCAAAAATCAAAAGTTTCATCCAGGGCCATAAATTCCAGGAAAATATAGCAGAAAAATTGCAAATTACTTTCTTCATGCAAATATAAATGAGATGTTATCACTCTGTCAAATAACCAAAAAAAAAAAAAAAAGGAAGAAAGAGATGTGCTTGCAAGGGATTTAATGACCATTTAATGACCAAAGCAAATCTGCTCAGGTACATCAGGAAAAAGTACAAAGCGTTGCTTTTTTGGTGACAGGTAAATAAACCAAAAGGCTAATTCCTTTTCACCTAACATCAAGTTTTACTGCTTAACATAACAAAACCTTTTCTCAGGTTTTCCCTTTCCATGTATTTCAATGGCTAACCTAGAAGTACTATAAGATCACGTCAAACCACGAGTAAAGAGTTCCAGGTATAGAGAATGTGTGCCCGTGTTTTATTCAGGTCGTTTGGAGTCCTTTGTCGATGTGCAATGAAACAAGTAATTCATATTCAATACATTCGTGTACACCCTGAATAAATAGAAAAACAATTTTCACAGCAAGTGAAAGCAAGCTATACCAACAGTAAAGGTGATCTCTACTACAAATATTTAAATGTCGTTCAGACTTATCACATTATACATCTAACAGTCTACTTGTTTTCTAATCTGTGATACTTTCTATTTATCAAAACTGAAAATAAATATGAATATTCTGGGCATCAAAATTGTCACTTTTGATAAACATAAAGAATCTTGTATTTCATCAGAAAATTATCTCACTAATTCAATTTTAAAGTCAATGTGATATGTTATTAAGCTGACAAAGCTTGCTACATTTTATTGCTGACCTGGCAGTGCAATATTAGGTGATCAATACATTACATATAATACTTTTCTTCTCTAAGCATTGTCATCTTAATTAATTCTAAAATTTTGAACCTTTTTTTATTTCAAAAACTCAACAAATGTAAGGAAATTTTGGCATTTTTCCTGTTTTGAGGATATATAGTTAACATTCTCATATGTAATGACGAACCTAAATTTCATTTGGAAATATTTTGAATGGGAAGTTTTTGTGTTAGTTTGTTGTAAAGTTTGTCAGAAAGAACTGCCAGATCCTGTGGATTTCTCCACCATTGTGTGTCCTGACATAAGGTAAAATTAATATTGATAAAAGAATCAATGGGAGGTCATCACTGGGCACCTGTGTTGGTACTCGTCGTCTGTAGCTCTGTCTGTAGCCCTGCCGGCAGCACAGAGGGTGTGTCTACGTCTATACAGATTGATTTTACATGTATTGAGTCATAAGATATTGTTATTTTTCACTTGATCCCCAACTCTGCATGTGGTATAGATATAACCCAGGTAAATTAATAATGATGTAATTTTCTAAACACTTCAATCCATCAATAATAAATTTTACAAACATACAGGGAACAAAATCATCATTTTGGAACACAACACAAAACCTAAGTACTCAACTGACTGAGTCCTTGCCCCAGAAACATGAAATAATCTCATTATATAAATTAGATTATTCACACCCGTCATTAAAGAATAGACTAAGGACAGTATGTAATAGAATTTAGATTGAAGTTAAATGCATTGTATATATAATTTGAAGGATCAAGTATTATTAAATTAGAAACAGTAATTGTGAGAAGGCAATTGAACAGATGACTGATAAAACTTTAGAAATGGAAGACTGATTGTACATAATTTTCCACAGATCATGCTTTTTGCATTTGATATTTCCCCAAAATTACAAAGCACAGGCCCCTGTACAATAGCAGTAGAAAAATCACTGATGGTGGCGTGTCTGGTGGCGTGTCTGATGGCGGCGTGGCTTGTCTGATGGTGGCATGTCTGGTGGCGTGTCTGATGGACAGACAGGGAATAAACCTGGAGTAATGTGTACCAATACTTTGCAGACCAAGTACACATGCAAAGTTATTGATCAAAGCCGATTTTATTGAAATACAAGAAAGTGATTTGTAGTTTGTAGGGAGATATAAAAAGCAGACGGTTTCTAACAGTATATGCCCTATATGTACCACTGAAGTAGAAGATACATTTTATTTTGTTTTTAAATGTTAAGAATATGAATTCTTCGGGAAGAAAATTGTCAAAACATTATTATTGCTGCAAGCCATCCATGTATACACTTTTGAAATTGCTAAGTACAGAAAATGTACAGAACTATATAATTTCGGGATTTTTTGTGTAAAGCTTTTGAAATTGGGTCACAACTCTTGTCTTTGAAATGAGTGAATATATACAAGTATATGACTTAAATTGTAGTTGACTTTGTATGACATTGGATTGTGCATAGTACATGTATTGTACATGTAATATCAATTAGCTGTATCGCTTACGATAAAAACAAAATGAATTTGAACCTCCACAAGAACAGAGTTGGGAAATCTTGAGGAATACTCTGACTGCCAATAGGTGATACTCTGATGGATACCACAGCTATATAGAAACAGTGGAGTTCTAGTGAAATCCTCCAGATAAACAGCTATAATCACAGGCTCGTGACTTATTCAGGAAAGAGTGATTCACTTGGTGTATAGATCTCCACTACTTTTATTAACAACTTTGAGTATCTAAAGGTGCCTGTGCCTTTTCAACTTGGAAAATTGCTGAAAAATAAGTTTTACAGAACTTTTCAACATTGCTTAAATGTCCTAAGCCAATGACTTAATAGCACTTCGTATTGCACCTTGGAAAATTGCTGATAGAAGTTTTCAACTTCACATATCATGCCAAATTTGTCATTATTTACAATATGAAATAGGTTAAGGTGATCAGGTTTTAAAGTTGATAGGAAAACAGCCAACTCCCAAAAAATTTGAGATACTCTGTACTTTAAAATTCAACTGATAAAATATATACACAGTGACCCTGAACATTCAGATTAATTTATTAATAGTAATATTCCCAAATAGTTTGGCCAAGCAGAACACAAATGTTGAAATCATGAAACTACATGTATGTATGAATGTCTACAACACTTTAAAATTATCTGAATATGGTGAATGCATTTAGAATGTTAAGTTTCATTTAAAATGACTTTAATGTAAATTATCAGTAATACTAATGTTTACCCAGTAAATCTGTATCAATAACTCCCATAGTGAGTCTCAAATCAATTTTCCTGCAGTATGTATACAATTTGTATATTACAAAGTATGAACTATCACAAGACCATATTTCCTTGCATTGTTAGTCTTCTAATAAATAAAATGAAAAATAAAAATTGAAATTTGTGATTCACTGTTTATTGTAAATAATTATTCATTTAATTTTCATTAACTTTAATTAAACTTGGTAATATTAAATCTTAGCACCAATACAGCTTTGTTCCAGTTCCATACCTATATATCACAAAAGGAAAGTTACCTGGATGACAATCTGACAATGCTTTGACAGATAAATATCTTCATGCCTGTATACCTGTATACCTATATGTACCTGTACCGGGAGTACCTTTTCAGGTGTGGTGGATCTACCTGAGTGTAGGGTCCGCCAGGTGAGGTATATACATGTAAACCTGAACAACTCTCCCACCTAGCAAATGGATGATGCATGTTCGATCTCCTTACGATTACCTGATGTGATTTTTGACATAGTGAAATTTTGCGTCATGGTTCGGAATTTGCACGTCAACGACTTCAGGTAGGTATATATTATTGTTTCCCACCTGTAAATAATTGATTCCTGCACATACAGGTATCCAAATATATATATCACAGGCATACAAAGGAACCACGGTAGTAAGTAACACAAGCCTGTAGCAATACCATTGTACATATATCAACAAATGGTGCATTGTATTTCTCATTTACATGAACTACCTGGCTGTTTTATTCCCAATCAGCAGGTAGTGTAAGGGTCATTTATCCAGGATTTAGTTATGTAACAGGCTAACACAAATGTGAAGTTAATCATTCATCCTTATTTCTACAGCTTGTGACTAGTGTAGTAATGTGACTAGTGTAGTAATGTGACTAGTGTAGTAATGTGACTAGCGTAGTAATGTGACTAGCGTAGTAATGTACCTAGTGTAGTAATGTGACTAGCGTAGTAATGTGACTAGCGTAGTAATGTGACTAGTGTAGTAATGTGACTAGTGTAGTAATGTGATTAGTGTAGTAATGTGACTAGTGTAGTAATGTGATTAGTGTAGTAACGTGACTAGTGTAGTAATGTGACTAGTGTAGTAATGGGATTAGTGTAGTAATGTGATTAGTGTAGTAATGTGATTAGTGTAGTGATGTGACTAGTGTAGTAATGTGATTAGTGTAGTAATGTGATTAGTGTAGTAATGTGTCTAGTGTGGATAGTGTAGTAATGTGACTAGTGTAGTAATGTGACTAGTGTAGTAGTACACATCCCCAGCTAGGGTGACAGATATATTCTCAGGTTATCTCCCATTGTGTGAGAATTATGTGATCATGTTGTAATATTTCAGTGAGATTAGCACATTTAAATGTGAACTGATCGGCCAAATCATCTGTTGACACCATCATCATAACACCTTAACTGTTGCAATGAATTAAAACATCAGTAATTTTTTCAGTCCTTTTCTATTACATACACTAATGTAGCATGCGCATGAGGTCATCATTTTTTCAATGCCTCCACTAGGGACCGAAGGGTTGCGTGTTCGAGTCACAGCACGGCCCTGTGTTGTATCTTTGAGCAAGATGCTTTTCTCCACTTGTTCTAGTCTACTCAGCTGTAAATGAGTATGTGGTTGGGCAGAGCTAGACTTGTTGAATGCTAGCTGTTAGCACTGAAATGGCAGCAGCGGCTGTATGCTCCCCAGGGAGTTGAGAAAGATATTGGCTGGTTGAAAAGGCCCTATAACCACGGGTAATAATTTGTGAACCGATTTGAGACAACCTACGACTTGGTTGTGATAAAGCGGTATATAAGAACCTCAAAATATTATTATTATTATTATTAGCTGAATCAGGGACCTCTGGCTTACTAGTCTTACGCTCTACTGAAGGAGCCAAGAGAAATTCTCTCTAGATGAGTCTGTAGTAAGTGACACCAACTTTTATTAACAGCAACATGATAGGTGTAATGCCCCTTTTGACAATATATTGGGATACTTATCACAATACATACCTTTTGCATTGCAGTATATTGGGATACTTATCACAATACATACCTTCTACATTGCAGTATATTGGGATACTTATCACAATACATACCTTCTGCATTGCAGTATATTGAGATACTTATCACAATACATACCTTCTGCATTGCAGTATATTGGGATTCTTATCACAATAAATACCTTCTGCATTGCAGTATATTGGGATTCTTATCACAATAAATACCTTCTGCATTGTAGTATATTGGTATACTTATCACAATACATACCTTCTGCATTGCAGTATATTGGGATACATTTCAGACATGTAGCTACATCCCTGCATGTATCTGCGAAATGTCGTTAAAACCTAACAAGAATAAGATGGCTGCTAGAGTAATGAGGAGTGTGAAATTCTATTTTTAGTAACGGTAACCTTGTTTCACCAATCATGCCCGTAATAATTTTTTGTGAAGTTTAATACAGCCGCTACAGAGATGACAGTTACCGGGACAGAAAGACAGGATACAAACATAATGCTATAATGAGAATATCTTCTATATACAAACAAGATTTTACAGCAAGCCTTCTTATGAAAACTTTGTTCAGTGAATCTTTTCCGGTAACTAATTTTGGGGAAATTATAAAAACAATGATAAACAAATACTTGCTATTCAACTCCTCTTTAGGTTGATTTTATTAACCAGTCTCTTCATCAAGGACCACTATTAATACTTAAGTGCTAAGGTGGAACAGGTTAAACCACAAATTGTCCAAGACGTTGCTCTTGGATGTAACCATGGCCAGCATACTATGCAATTCTTCAAATATTGCATTCAAGTGTAATGAAGCTAGTTAAAAATTCTAAATTGGTGTGCAAATTTTAAACAAAACATGTGCACAGATCAAACAAAAGTCAAGTTACTATACAAATTATCCAGAAGTGCACTCAAGGTTGATCTGTCCTTACCCATCCGAGGTTGACAGGGGAATAGAGAGTTGAGACAAATATACAAGGGCGCTGCCCAAGATCTCCAAGTTATACATGATATCTAGACAAACAAACTATACAAATACAGAGATGGTTTATTGCCTAGCACTGTGTTTACTGTTTACAACATCTAAGTGACAACTGTGGAGATGGTTTCATTGGCTTCTTCAATTAAATACCTGTGTACATATATCTGGTGACTGACAGCGCTATGAACCACACTGTACGATAAATTACTTGGTGTATACTACTTTATACATGCCACATTGATATACACCTACTGAATGGTCAACATGGGATGTTACAGTTTAATGTCGTCGTAAATCAATTTCATGTTCTGTAGTAAATTAGTATAATTTCTCATCAACTTTCAGATGTATGTACAAAAAGTTTAGAGGCCACCTATAGTATAGCTTTAAAGCAAACTTTCATGTACCATTGCATAATTCCATATATGAATATATTATAGGGTAGCACTTCAGGTAGAGCTCTAACGCAAAACTTCGATGTAGAATTTTAGGATACAATGTTCAGGTTCAACTTAAAAACAAAACTTGGATCTAGAACTTTAGAGTGACGAAACATTTTAAAACTTTACACTATAACAATAAAATAATAATTTACTATTAAACCAGTAACAATTAACATTAAGCATTGCACAACTTTAGAGTACCCTTTAGTTTTATATGCCTAGTGATTTTTACCATAGCCTGACAATGTTTATCATTGGCTTGGACTAAAGTCACTTTAATATTTGACATACTGTTTAAACTATATATATGTGTCAATACCATTACCAGTAATGTAAAACTCTTGTTTCAACTTGCTCTAAACCCCGAGTTATTTAATGTGTATGGCGATGATTTAGTGTGACTGAAAGGATGTTGTATGGTGCGCAGGTATAATGTTAGGTCTATATTCCACACCCATGATGATGACGAATATTTGGTAAATTGAATGGGTTTTTTAAATGATCAAATAATAATTGGTAAATGTACATTAAAATGATTATGGAAAAATAAACACAGAGACTACCATTTTTTATTACCACGAGATTATCATCTTTACCACAGAGACTACCGTCTTTTATCACAATTATCATCTTTACCACAGAGACTACCGTCTTTTATCACAAATAGATTACCATCTTAGACTACTAACTTTCCTCAACAATCACACCTTAATGTGAACCTTAGATTACCGCAAGTTTAACCCCTATATTATAACCATTACAGTGAAATTCTATCTATCCTTCCCGTAAATCAATTAGACAACGGATCCAATTTCTTTATTAACTTCTATTGCAAAAGAGTTTAAATGCAGAAGTAATCACATGAGTACATTTAACCCTTTCATCACTGTAGACCATAATGGACTCATCCAGATCAATGTATGGTAAAGTCTACTAAAGTTACATAGGGGTGAAAGGGTTAAACATTCAACCAAGGTTAGCTGTTATTACTGTAATGCTTTCCACCTCAGACTGAAATAATTGACTGTATGCCTTCCCTCGGTTACAACAGTTGACAATCTCTCCTCGTAAATTAACTGAAGGCCGGGACATTAAGCATTCCCTCACTAATACTACAACAGTTGGCAGTCTCTCCTCGTAGCTTTACCCTGGTTCTCTTTTAATACTTTTATATAACCATGTATTTTTACTTTAAAACTTAGTAAGAGTAAGATAAACATCAATACAATATATATTAAACAATACATATTGAATACTGATTTTCAATATATTGTATCTTACCTTATCAATTCATACTTTTTAATATATCTAGCCCTAGAATTCATTATAACTTTTACCTAAGAACAGAATTTTTGTATCATATTCAGTAGATTTACAGATATACCCTTCATTATTTACAGTCATCCCTCATGACGTAGACACATGCAGTATGACAGAAGTACAACCAAATGATGACCTTCCTCCTCCCGTTCCCGGGTCTCAAAACCTGGGTGAGACATCAGACCCATCCTCCTCTGACCAGAATCAACCACCAGATCTACTAATCCCCACCCCCAGGGACAATGCTGCTGAGAGTGTGGGAGCCTATAGCTCCCCCGCCCTTAGGGACTTTACCAAGGAGGATGAGTTAAGTGATGTGACACTACTGATAGAAGGGACACAACTCCATGTGCATCGTCAATACTTGGCCGAGTGGTCTCCGGTGTGGAGGAGAATGTTCCTGGGGGGATTTCTGGAGCAGCATGCTCGTCAGATTCCACTCCCTGGAAAACGCATCGCCGAGGTTACAGAACTTCTGCACTGTATCTACTCCTCACAGAAACCCATTTCAGGTAGATTTCCTGTCTGAATACATCCTCACAATAAAATATGTCGGGTATATTTCTAAACATTTTCCTCGGGTATGTAAGTATAAGTTGTATGTAGATTTGTATATCACAAACAGTGAACATGTTTATGTGTGACTATTCAATGTCTGTGACAGAGCATATATTTCTCTTGTCTTAGAAAAGTCATACCGTAACATTTTACTGATTGTGCTTTATGAACTCGTACAAATATCAGGTATATATCACAACTGTATCCATCCCCACACTTAAGTGTCCATCGGTTTGTCAAGTGTAATAGTATTCTGATAAGAAGTTTTCAATGCAAATAAAAAATCCTCTATTATAACTAGTTTAATGGTCAAAATCTCGAAATGGGATGTCACCCGTCCCAAATAAATGGTTTTGTTTATTTTAGTTTTCTTGGGCATATTTGCTATCCTTTACCTAAATTCTGTCCTTTTTCAATCAAAACTATCTTAACCTTGTTCTGTAAGTAAATGTTTTCACCTAACAAATGAGTTATTTCCCCTTTTATCACAATCCTGTTCTATTTCAATTAAAATTGACTTTGCATTGTTCTGTAAGGAGCTATCTCTTCCTAATGAATAAGTTATCTCCCCTGTTTCAGATGGGAACGTGCGATTCCTGTTAGAACTGGCAGAAGAGTACCAGATAGACAGGATAAAACGTCGATGTGAGGATTTTCTCCTCACCCAACAGAGCAACCTTGAGGCACTGTTTCTTGCCCAGAAGTTTCGTCTACGTACACTCTACCGTCGCTGTGTCAACTGTTCCAAGACTAAATCTTTACGTGACCTTGAGCGCAACCCTAACTATGTCAAACTCAGTGCAGAAACTAAAGTAGAGGTACTGAAAGCTAAGACAGAGATGTTGTGTGATTATACCAAAAATCTGGAAAATCGGGAGACATTGTTGAGTCGGAAATCTGATCTGCTTACAATGGAGCGCGACAACATGAAGGCCAGTCTCCAAGCAATTCACGGCATCTGGGGTGTGCCCAATAAACGATGTTACAAACACGTCACTGACAAAGATTTCAACTTCTCCTGTTCGGACTGTAATGAGAATATGTACCGAGAGATCCGAGCTCTGTGTGGGAGGGGCCAGCATCTCAGACGCTATTTTCCACCCAAGTAGGACACACAAGGACCTCTTACGTGTTGTGTGTTCTTTTTCTCAAAGTGGGATGGTAAGGATCCATAGTCATCCCATTTATTACTTCCCGCCTTAGTAGCCTAGGACACACAAAAACCTGTAATATTCTGTGTGTTCCTTTCTGTTGAAGCAGGGCATTATAATTCCCGATATAGGACATATAAGTATTACTGTTCATATACACCAGAACTGACAAGACCTCATCACTTATTTAGTAAACAGTCGATCTGGAAACATTTAAGTGAAATACAATACTGGTACCAGAAATGGTGTTGAGAATCAGTAAAGATTTCGACATTGAAGATCAGCTACAGTCAGCTCATGACAACTGATCAATTTTCCGTTACTAATCGGTTGATTTATACATGTATGATGTTACATTATAGAGCGTGATATTTATAGCTGTTAGAGCTTTAAGGAATAACTAGTTAATCATCTACAAATAGATAATGACCCTTACTCCATACTACTTCTCAATATTTTATTTTAAAGATATACATGTATAAAATATCGGTGTGTTCTATTATCTGTCTGAATTGTTTCTGCATGGGTGGGTTGTGTTTCAGTTCAGGCAGAAATAATGAAAAATAAACAAATTGTGTTATTTCCATATGCAGGTAAGTTAATAAAACAGCATCTGGATTTATAAGTAGAACAAAGATATACTATATAGTAGTATCAAACAAATAAAGTTGCATGACGTGTTTAATGAAGCAATGTGAGGAAGTCATTAATTGTTTGCAAATTATTGTGTTACTGTATTAGCCCAGAGAAGTGAAATAATTATTTCACAAAAATAAGTATCCCATAGTATGTATGAGATAACAGGAGAGACAAAATGCACGGTCAGACTCGGATTCGAATCTGGGACCCTCTGAACTCCAGACAGACTCTCTACCAATTGAGCTACCCGATCACTGGCGAACAATTCAGTCTGATACCACTGCATTCCTCAGTCCGATACCACTACATTCCTCAGTCCGATACCACTACATTCTTCAGTCCGATACCACTGCAATCCTTAGTCCGATACCACTACATTCTTCAGTCCGATACCACTACATTCCTCAGTCCAATACCACTACATTCCTCAGTCCGATACCACTACATTCCTCAGTCCGATACCACTACATTCCTCAGTTCGATACCACTACATTCCTCAGTCCAATACCACTACATTCCTCAGTCTGATACCACTACATTCCTCAGTCCGATACCACTACATTCCTCAGTCCAATACCACTACATTCCTCAGTCCGATACCACTCCATTCCTCAGTCCGATACCACTACATTCCTCAGTCCGATACCACTACATTCCTCAGTCCGATGCCACTACATTCCTCAGTCCGATATCACTACATTCCTCAGTCCGATACAACTACATTCCTCAGTCCAATACCACTACATTCCTCCCTCCTTTTTCTAAGTCTTCACCCCAAAGACAACACTACTAACAACCCAGGTTCAGGTATCCCTATGTTAGGAAAACACACAGTGCTTGAAACAAGGGTTGGTGACAGGCACCACTGTATCTGGAAAGGATTGATACAAGGACTAACCGGTATTTGAACCCTGGACCCTCAGAAAATTAAAACAGATTAATCTGTGATTAACAATTTTACTTTAGACACTGAAATTTGGATTTGCTAAATGTCTGAGGTCAACTGAAACCTCTGTATAAGGCGACACAAAAACTGAAAGTCACTAAAGTGCAGGACAGTTGATTATAACGACACTTACCTCTTTGACCCGTGACTTAAGGACAGACTCCGATACTGATGATGAGGATGATCTACGATCCGCGGGACTGCTGTCCCTCTCTACAAAATAAAGTAAATCAATAAACTCCTCAAATTTCTTAAATCCCAAGTTTACGATTATAAAACGATAGACCACTCAGTTGTTTAACTATATGTGACTTACTTGTGTTGTGCCCAGTTCTAGACAGATCTTCCTAACAGTCGCCTCTATCTTTATCTAGTACTGTAAGCCACAGGCTATCTAAATATCCCTGGCCCCTCTAAAGGTAATCTGTTATATCACTTTTCAGTTAAGGATAGTTCATGATTTAATCTCGATAAAAGTTAATAAATTGGAATCAGAAAGGATCATAACAGATATCAAAATTATGAAAGCCAAAAATAAATCATAACACATAACTACCGTGGGTATTGCTCATGTTACAAAGTTTTTAAACAATTATCAATGAAGAAAGGAAGCAAAACTTCAGAAAAAAATCATAAATGAAAAGTCAGATAAGGGACATAACTCCCATAAAATTGCCAAATCAAAATATAAATCGCAGGTGTCTAACTTCAGAGTGTGTTCACTATATCAGTGGAGTTTCATGTAATTCGGCTGTAAACTGTAGGAGCAGTTATGTATCTAAATAGACGGACGGACAGACAGACAGACATACAACCTGATTTCTGTATACTCTCCCATTGTGGGAGATAAAGCCATGTCACTTAGGACGTAAAATAACTATGTCACTTACTTGTATTGGACTCCAGATCTAGACACACCTTTAGGAGGTATAATAACTATGTCACTTACTTGTATTAGACTCCAGATCTAGACACACCTTTAGGAGGTATAATAACTATGTCACTTACTTGTATTGGACTCCAGATCTAGACACACCTTTAGGAGGTATAATAACTATGTCACTTACTTGT